AGGGAGGGGGAGGGGGATGGGAGGGTGTGGTGGGTGTGAGGAGGGGATGGGAGTTGTGGGTGTGAGGAGGGGGGAATGGGAGGGAGGGTGTTGTGAGTGGGAGCAAAAAGGAGGGGAGAGATTTGTGGGAGAAAGGTGGGGGAGGTAAGGAGGGAGTTGTGGGTGGGAGGAGGGTGATGATTGAGGATTTGGGAGGTGGGATGGGGTTGAGAGATTTTAAAAAGGCGTAATTGTAGTTGTTGTGTAGCTCAATGGAGTTCAGGATCGGCAAATTAGTGCAAAGAAGAAGAAGAAGAAGAAGAAGAAGAAGAAGAAGAAGAAGAAGAAGAAGAAGAAGAAGAAGAAGAAGAAGAAGAACAAGAACAAGAACATGAACGAAAACAAGAAGATGAAAAAGTAGAAGAACAAGAACATGAAGAAGTGAAAGAACAGGAACAAGAACAAGAAGAACAAGAAGAATTAGTTGTTCTTTGAAACAGGACAACACTATGATCGAACTGCAACTGGACATTACTGAAACATTGAAATCAAGTCTTCATCATCATCATCAATGAGTTTCACCCCTGGCACGGTATGGACCACATACAGGCTCCTTCCATTTATCTCTGTCCTGGGCCATCCTTTCAAGCTCATTCATTTCATCTTTCTCATGTCCCTTTCCAAACATCTCCTCCATGTTTCCAGTGGCCTACCCCAGCCTCGTGCTCCCTGTGGGTTCCACTGCAGCGACTATCTATAGAAATCAAGTAGTATTTTTTAAAGCATTTAATCCCCCCCCCCCCCTCAAATATACAGACACATATACAGACGCAAAAACCATACAGAATCGATGGTGTTTTGCTTTCGCTTCAGAAGAGGATTAATAAATATAAGCGAAAGAAAAACACGATCATGACAAGACTGGAAATCGTGTTTGACAGCAATCTACTTTCTGTATACGACATAATCACGTACTATTCACAATGTTTAGAGTAGAACACACAAAAAGAGCGACTAATGACAAACAAATGCCTTAAGCCCTCTTGGTCGACTTGAGGACTTCCATTTTCTGTTTCTGCTTTCTTTTCAATCTACCTATGTATTTTTTTCTTTGGCAGTACTCCATCTTTTATTCGCTTCCACCCACCCCTCCCCCAATCTCTCTCTCTCTCTCTCTC